AACCAGCGACCTGCTTGCTGTGAGGCGACGGCACTACCTACTGCGCCACTGCCTCACCCTCATGCTCTATGTACTTATGCACTTACACACTCAACAGGATAGTATACGTATGTAGTGGCGTCCCAAATGGCACACTAATGTTTTTTTACTAAGCGGAAATTCAAACCGTTTCCCTGATGACGTTTGACGGTTGCCAAATCAGTGAAATAAACGACCGAATTATCAAATAATACCTGCCGTGAGTATAATCGCATTCACCATCGGGAGGCGATATAATCACTCTCGTAGGAGAATTTTGCTTTCACCATCCAAAATAAATAAAGTTATTCAACATGTGCGTCCGATAGCTCCGCCCCTTCCGATATGTAAGCAAACCTGCGGTTGTTGAGTGCGTGAAGTGTCCATCATTACACACTACATTTTAGCGGCTGAATGAGTGCATCATTTGGGTAATTAAAGTGCACTTAATATTTTTAGTGTGAACACACTACTTACACTATTTATACTACAAAATGGCTAGAATCTACAGATCTAGGGTCTATTCTGCCGCCCTAGACGCGGATATAACTGAGGCGCGGGTGGCGAGGGTAGTTTCGGGGACGCCACCCTCTCTATTCTGCCGCGCTAGACGCGGATATAACTGAGGCGCGGGCGGCAAGGGTAGTTTCGGGGACGCCGCTCTCTCTATTCTGCTACCCTATACACAGATGAGGGTGCGGGTGGCGAGGATAGTTTCGGGGAAGCCGCTCTCTCTATTCTGCCACCCTATACGCGGATGTTGAGGGTAGTTTCGGGGACGCCACCCTCTCTATTCTGCCGCCCTAGGCGGCCGCCTAGGTCGCCTCTATGGAAGCGCCGGCCCTGGGTACAGTCTGTGAAACCCCCAGGTCGCCAACTTTTGTATAGGATCCGATTGCAGCGGCAGCCCGAAACACGCTTCATAGTAGACACTAACACCACAGTACTCAGTACCCGGTTCTCAACACGAGGGAGCTTCTCTTCTGTTAAACTGAACAGCGCATCATCGATGACATAAGCGTGCTCAGGGTCATTCACTCCTTCACACACACACACACACACTATGGCCAATTTTGTTTGTTGCAAATTAAATACGGGAGAAATGTGGATGATTGACAGGGCACTGTAACTAAGCAACAGAACAGTCCATTAATAAAGCTGTAGCATGTCCCGAAGCTTCTATTGCCGGGTTGCACACTCAAAAGTGTGCACATTTTCTATTTTTATGTACTTGTCTAAGTACTTGCACTTGTACAGCAAGAAGATCTCTGGTTCGAGCCTCGGCTGGGCCAGTTGGCATTTCTGTGTGTAGTTCTCCCCGTGTAGGCATGGGTTTCCTCCGGATGCTCGGATTTCCCCCACAAGTCTAAACACATGCGCCATAGGGGAATTGATTAACTAAATTGGCTGCAGTGTATGAGTATGTGTATGGGTGTTTTCCAGTACTGGGTTGCAGCTGGAAGGGCATCCGCTGCATAAAACATATGCTAGAATAGTTGGCGGTTCATTCCGCTGTGGAGACCCCTGATAAATAAAGAACTAAGCAGAAGTAAATATTCGTTTCAAAGCAATACAGATGGAGTTTTGCACACTATATGAAGAGTACTTGAAGAGAGAGGGGCTGAAAAATAACAGGGATTGATGACATGGACTGAAATAAAGAAGATTGTTTTAATGTGAAGAATGATCGGAGCAGAGAGAGTAATGTAATGCTGAAATCTGCAGGATCAGGTGTCACAAAATCAGACACATAAATCAGATTTAATTATTAAAACTTAAAAAATCCTGTGCAGGAACGGCTAAAATATATTTAGGCTGGCTTGTGTAGCAAGCCAGACTACTGTTATCCTATTTTTCTTGGGAGACAAAAAATTAAACTCTATCTCCTTCTAGAGCTTTCAAGCTATGACCACCAAAGTCACACCAGACCTCCAAACTGGTCTGACTCGGGTTGCTATATCTTTTCCGACTGATCCGACTTTCGGTTTTCCGAAAAACGTCCCGGGACTGTCGGAAAAATCTCATTAACTTAACATTGGATCAAACTTTGTGACCTCATAACTCTGCAGCAGACTGTCACACAAACTTCTAACTGGGCTCATTTAACTCAGACTACCTAATTGTCAATAACTGATGAGCTTTTAACTTTCTGGCCACACCCTAGCAACCACTTTTGGGACCCTAGAAACTGTCCCATAGACTTCCACTGCAAAAGACTCTCACTGACTTTACATTGGGTCAAACTTTGTGAGCTCATAACTCTACATCAGACTGTCGCACAGACTTCTAACTGGGCTCATTTAACTCAGACTACCAAACTACCAATAACTGATGAGCTTTTAACTTTCTAGCCACATCCTAACAACCAGATACAGGACCCTAGCAACGGTCCCATAGACTGCCATTATAGAGGTTCAGATTGATATCGTCATGCTGCAGTGTGATAGAGACATGGGGGTTGTTTTAACTGTTCATACTGGGAAGAGGCTTTGATACATCATCAGTCTAAGCTGTCAATCAACTCCATAGCAACAAAACAGACTAACCTAGCAACTATATAACAGCAGCTATATCTCAGCATCAGAACATCGCAGAGAAGCGGGGGTTGGCTTATTTGACTCATGCTAGCACATCATCTATCTATCTATCTATCCATCCATCCATCCATCCATCTATCTATCTATCTATCTATCTATCTATCTATCTATCTATCTATCTATCTATCTATCTATCTATCTATCTATCTATCTATCTATCTATCTATCTATCTATCTATACTTTTAAAAAACTGTTTAAACTAAATACAATATTACCAACAGGCTTTCACAAGCCAGCCTCAAAGTTTGTCCTTAAACTTTAATAATCTAGTTGTATTTATGAGTTAAATTTGGTGCAAGACTTGGAAGATTATGATCATATGGATTACTTTCATCATCCCACACATGATAATATACTATAGTAGCTTATAGCAAATACTACAGTGTTTTGAACCATACTGTGGTAAAATACTTCAATTAATCTGCTGTAGTAGTATAACACAACAACTATAGTAATGTAAACAACCCAATACAGCACTGCAAGCTTTCTACAACCACAGGCTATAATGTAGCCACAATAAACCACAGCTAACAGTAGTAAAAGCTAAGATATACTACAGTATTTACAGCTAATACTACAATATCTTGGAGCATTTGTTAACAAAGAGTTGTACTTTATTATAAATACAGTATTATACACACTATATAAAACCCCTCGCTATGGTCTGTATCAGAACATATTTACTATGATTACTGTAGTATTGTTTTCATTTAAGTGAATCTTTTTTTAAACAAAAGCTTTGTATAAAAATCTTAGTTTAAGTGAAAATACATAAAAAATAAACACAGCACCTATACGGTAATACAACAGTTTGATGTAGCATTCATTAATGAAGAGCTGTAAATACTACAATACAGTATTTAATACAATCATTACAGTGTGGTTCAAAAACACTATAGTATGTACTGTTATTTACTACACTATTTTAGCATTTGATTAAAACTTTAATAAATAAAAATGTTGTTTAATAAAAATCTCATGTTGTGCCAACATAAGTGAAATATATAGCACTCTAACACTGCGATGTAACATTTATTAAGAAAGAGTTACAAATACTGTATACTAATACATTCAGTATAATACACATCACTATAGTAAACATATAGTATTACTAATAATATTTAAAAATAAACTAATATCGCTAATTGTATTTATTTTTAAATATTACTATATTATTTTTACTTTTTATTTCAATTAAAAATAATAATTAAATTAAAAGGATTAATAAGTAATAATAAGAAGAATAAGTATAATTAAATTGACAATAATTAATAATAATAATTATTATTATTATTAAATTAACTAAATTAATAATTATTATAATTAAATTAACAATAATTAATAATAATTAATAATAATAAAGTATAATTAAATTGACAATAACTAATAATAATTAATAATAATAATAATAAAAGTATAATTAAATTGACAATAATTAATAATAATAATAGTTATTATTATTATTATTATTATTATTATTATCATCATTATTATTATTAAATGAACATTAATTAATAATAATAATAAAAATTATAATTAAATTAATAATTAATAATATTGATAATTCATTTTGTGTCTAAATAAATGAAGTGACTAAAGATGCAGATGAATGTTTGATGAACTGTCTCTTTAAATGCAGTGTGAGTCACTGAGGAGCCCAGATAAAGCGCCCGCGGCTCGACAGCCAGATATCGCAGTGTATCTCAGTCAGCACAGCCGCTTTTCCAGCACACACACACACACACACTCACTTACACACACACAGTCTGTGGCTGTTTTTCAGTGCAGTCGTGGCTGGAAAAGGCCTTTGCGGGTTTGTCTGGGCTCGCGACACACCTCCCTTTGACATTGACACACATTCTCCACAGCCGCGGCGTGTAAACGAACGCGGCTCTGCAGCCGCGCAGAAAAGCCCACGGCTGGAGCTGCAGCCCGCTGCGCGAGCCCCGCTTTCCGCTTCAATCCCAAGTTCACGTACACACAAAAACACACTTATGCATCCCTCCTGCAGGAGATCCACACAATCCGCGAACAAAGAAAATCATCTGGTCAACTGAAATCTCACAAGTCACCAAATCCACCCCCATAAATATACAAGTCTTGCTGGTTCTGCATTCCCTGCAGCCCAATCATGCTATTTTAATGCTGCCATAATGTTTGTAAGTTTGCAGCTGGAAAAAAAGATTTAGGTCACGGCTCGAGTAGTTTATTTAAACCATATTTTCGTCTCTATAATCCCTAATATTTACGTTTTGCATCATGCACAATACACATCGTGACCGGTTGCTGTATGCAACACATTGTTGCATGCATTTAAGACATAAAGCGCGTGCAAATACATACAGAATACATGAAGAATGCATTGCTGAGGAAGTTGCACTTACCGCTTATGTAAAATAACTGTGATGTCGGCGTGTCCCCAAGTTCCCTAAAATATAGAAACAGGTAAAAGTCGACACTCCTTTGTCTCTGAAATATAAATGTATTTTTCTATCAGTCTTGACCCTGGGTCGCTCCCAGCGCTCTTGATCTCGCACTTTCTTTCCAGCTGCGTTTGTTATTTTCTCACCCTGTTTTCCTCTCTCTCTTTCTCTCTCTCTGTGTGTGTATTACCCCGTTTTGTCCTTTCTGGAGCCACTGACAAAAAAAACGCACAAAAAATATGGAGCCGTCAATCAAATAAGTCGACTACAGTTATGGATGGGGGAGCGCGGAGTAAGGCGTCGAGCTCTAGTCAGCACTGCTGCCTTATTTAAGCGCTTTTATATGGCGTACGTGTTATGAAACATCATTCATGCTACACAAATCTGCAAAACGTCAATAAGCAAAGGCGTAATGTCGACAAAAACGCGCTCTAGAAAAAAAACTCCCCCTGTTTTCGTGCAGTGGTCGCGCCCGTTGTTGAATCGCCTGGTGGAACAAAACGCGCTGGCATTCCTCGGTTCTGGTTTCAGCTGCGCTCGGTCTGAAGCAAGAGCTGCGTGCGATTCCAGCCCCTCCTGAAGATATAAATACACGCCATTCTCTAATTTCTTGCAGAAATGCACGTGATGTTTAAAGCAGGGAGTGTTTTCTAAGAAACTAGCGAAAAGGTCGACGTTTCGTGTTCCACAATCATCACCACGAAAGCTGGCTCGCCTCAGACAGTCATACTGATGGAGTATACACACATCCAGCATTAGGACAAAAATACATAAAAGATTTGTAAAGACACCCTTTATTTGAGCATTTACTCTGTGAGATATTTATCAGTGTAGTTTATCAATACTACAGGTCCAAAGTATGTGGAAACCGTTCTCCATATGTTTTCCTTAAGGGGTTTGTTTACAGAGGGGTTGAAACATTATTTTCTGGCTGAATCACATACAATAGTCATGTTTTAGGCCCCAGACAGTCATATAACGCTACTGATGTATACACCACATTTGTAAAGACACTATTTAATTTGTATTTACCATGTTTACTTATAGTAATGACCACAAAATACAGTAACTAGTGCATCTTATAACACTTTAGGTGTTTTCCACATTTTCAATGTGTTTCCCTTAAGGGGAATGCAATGTTATTTTCTGCCTGTATCTAACACAGCAGTCGCATTTTTTTTAGGTTTCTTTACCCCCATAGTCATAAAGCTACTGTTCGATTTGCAAAGACACTATTTATTTGGTCATTTATAAGATACCATGTTTATCACATTAATTAAAGTATTGAGAGCAAGAGAGATCAACGATCAGTGCATCTTGTAACATACTTTAGGTGTATGTGAAAAACATTTGCCATATGTTTCCCTTAGAGGTTTCCAAGGGGTTGAAACATTATTTTCTGGCTGAATCACATACAATAGTCAACATACAATAGTCAATCATTTTTTTTTTAAATAAAATTGGCAGCTGTGGTTGCCAGAATAATTTAGTAAAAAATACAATAAAATTGTAAACCGGTTTACAATTTAAAACTGTTTATGTACAGAATAATTATGTAAAAACAAATTAATATTATGTAAAATTTACAGAAAGTTTGTGTAAGAAATCATTACATTTTTAGTATTTTAACAAAGAAATCTTGTTGTTTTTACAAAAATATTTTGGCAGCTGTGGTTTCCACAATAATTTTGTAAAAATTACAATAAAAATGTAAACCTCTTTACAAATTAAAACTGTTGAACATATAGAATAATTACTAATCTGGCAGCCGTGGTTGCCACAATAATTATGTAACAAAAATACATTTTAAAAATGTAAACAACAGCATAAAATCATCACTTTATTTAATTGTGTTTACATGGGAGATATTGCCAGTAAAACTAAAATTGAAATGGCAATAAAATGAAAGACTATTCGGTAACACTTTGTAAAACCTACACACGATGAATCATTTATTAGCATATAGTGAATTCAATAACTGTTAAGCATTAACTCTACATTAACAGATGTTAGTAAGCAGTTTATATCTAAAGCTACAAATGCTCTATTCTTGACTTATGAGCACATTTATAATGTGCCTAATAGTTGTACTTTCATAATTTGTGAGTAATTGATTTTTCATGACTAAATTAAGTATCACATTATTTACGAACCATTTGTATTTAAGAGCAGTTGGAGATATTTAAGATAATTGAGAATGAGTTAGTAAATGACTAATAAACCATTGAAAACAATGTTTATATATCTTATTATCCAGGCCTATAGTAATGGTTACTATTTATTTGGTCATTTATAAGATACCATGTTTATCACATTAATTAAAGTATTGAGAGCAAGAGAGATCAACGATCAGTGCATCTTGTAACATACGTTAGGTGTATGTGAAAAACATTTGCCATACGTTTCCCTTAGAGGTTTCCAAGGGGTTGAAACATTATTTTCTGGCTGAATCACATACAATAGTCAACATTTTTTAAGCCTCAGACAGTCATATAAAGCTACTGATGGAGTAAACACACATCCATCATCAAGACAAAAAAGTAAAACATTTGTAAAGACGCTATTTAATTTTAATTAATCATGTTTACAGTAACTATTATTATAGTATTGACCACAAAATACAGCAACTATCAGTGCAACTTATAACACTTAAGGTGTATGAGATAAACGTTTCCAATATGTTTCCCTTAAGGCAGGGGTGTCAAACTCGGTTCCAAAAGGGCCGAAGCCCTGCACAGTTTAGTTCCAACCCTGCTCCAACACACTTACCTGTAGGTTTCAAACAAGCCTGAAGGACTCAATTAGTTTGATCAGGTGTGTTTAATTAGGGTTGGAACTAAACTGTGCAGAGCTGCGGCCCTTTTGGAACTGAGTTTGACACATAGATATCGCCTGGCCTATTGTTGTCTATTGGACGGAATGCGTCAATAGCACCGCCATCTTGCTACAGGGTAGCGCTCCTTTGAAATGAATGCGGGACCAAGGTACAGTGGAGGACTGTGGCCATGCAAAGCCAGAGATATACACATATACACATATATCTGTGATCGGGAGTTTTCCTGGATGTTAGTATGTATTTTTTTTTTATTATGAAAATTTTAATTTTACATCACTTTTCTACATTGATGGATCAGTGACCGCACGGGCATTCCTGACAAAAAGCTTGTGTTTGTGTGTATAGAGATGTACTATTCACCCTCCCTGTTAAATCTGATCTAATCATGTCCTGAAACACAGCTCCTCTCCTGCTTTCACTTCTCATACTGACAGAGGGAGCGATTCGTTTGTGAATGAATCCCCCGAACGACTCTTTCACTAACGTTAGCCGACAATAATACAAGTTTCTGGCAGCGCAGCATCTCGTTGTCATATTTCTTTTGCATTGTTTGCTAATTTTATTCAACAAAACTAGCATAAGCCGAGTGTTTAGTGCGAGTTGGAGCTGCTTTGCCGTATGGTGAATGCAGTAAGTGACTGTTATCATCAATAACGTTACCTGATTAGCACAAAAGTTCAGAACATACAAAAACGTAAAAAACTTAATATTACCTATGAAATGTTCTGCCTTTGTGCTTTGTTTTCTTTGTTTGCTCGTTACTACACCCGTAGACAGCGCTAAAGTCCCGCATCTTCACGTAATAACACTGTCTTGACTAGTGCGGTTGGATGACACTTGTCCTGGGAGCACTGTACCAATGTGGCGGCGCTATTGACGCATGCTCAGGGTCCCTATGCGATATCTAGTGTATATATCTATGAGTTTGACACCTGTGCCTTAAGGGGTTTCCAAGGGGTTGAATCATTATTTTCTGGCTGAATCACATACTATAGTCACATTTTAGCCTCCTTTACTTCAGACTGTCATATCAAGCTGTTTGACTATAAAAGACTCAAGAATTAAAACATTTGTAAAGGCACTCTTCACTTGAGTATTTTCTCTGTAAGACATGTTTTCCATGTTTATCACAATAACTATTACTGTAATATTGAGACTAAAACATAACAACTAGTGCATCTTAAAGGTGTAAAGCATATGAAAAACATTTTCCATGTTTCTTTAAAGGCTTTGCAAAGGGTTGAATCCTTATTTCCTGCCTGAATCACATACAATATTTACGTATTATAAATATAATACACAGATCTACCATCAAGACAAATCATTAAAACATTTGTAAAGACACTTTGAGCATTTCATTAATAAGATGCATTTATAAGACGTGTCTGCCAAGTATTGAGACCAAGATAGCAACTATCATTCATTTTCTTTCTGGCTTAGTGCCTTTATTAATTTGGGGTCGCCACAGTGGAATAAACCGCCAGTATATTTTGCACTTCCAGCTGCAATCCAACACTGGGAAACAACCATACACTCTCACATCCACACACACAAACACTACAACCAATTAATCTTATTCAATTCACCTATACCGCAGGCCTTGAACTTTGCTGGGGAAACGGGAGCACCTGGAGAACTTGCAAACTCCACACAGAAATGAATCTGACCCCGCGGAGGTTTGAACCAGCGACCTTCTTGCTGTGAGGGGATCATGCTACCCATTGCACAACTGTGACGCCCTAGGAACTATCAGTGCATCTTAAAACATACTTTAGGTACAAAGTATGCGAAAAACGATTTCCATTTGTTTCCGGTGAGGCAGGGGTGTCCAAACTCAGTCCTGAAGGGACAGTGTCCTGCATGCTTTAGTTCTGGCATAAACACACCCAATCTAGCTAATCAAGCTCTTTCTAGGTATACTAGAAACTTCCAGGGATGTGTGTTGAGGGAAGTTGAAGCTGAACTATGCGGGACACTGGACCTCCAGGACTGAGTTTGGACACCTCTGCCTTAAGGGGTTTCCAAGGGGTTGAAACAATACGTTCTGCCTGAATCTGTTAGGTGACCCAGACAGTCAAATAAAGCTACTGATGGAGTATAACACACATCTACCATTAAGAGAAAATTAAAACATTTCAAGTGTTCGCACTTAAGATATTGCTTAAAATATTAGTAAGTTTGGCATGCTGTCCTGGGGGAGAACCCTGAGCTCGGAGATAATTGAGCCCAGGGCTCCCGCCTGGTCAATGAGCATGTAAGGGTGCTTTCACACCTACACTTTTGTTTCGGAA